CTGGCTGTGACTTGGGTTCGAGATTGCGGCTACTGGCGCTGCGGCACCTCATGTGGCGTTCACGCCTTTTCCTAAATGCTCTTTTCTGTTATTACACACATATTTATTATTATTATTATTATTATTATTATTGTTGTTGTTGTTGTTGTTGGCCTTTTGTGCTACCGCATTTCGGGTTTCCCACTTTGTTTCAGCATTTTTCAAAGTTTTTGTTAATTTCATTAACTACGAATGAGGCTCCTGCGGTGCGTGTAAATTTCGTTTGATTGCATGAATTTGTGGCTGCTGTTTTTGACCCTCCTCTGGGTTAATTAGCCAAAAAAGAGAAGCATTTGACCCACTTCAAGAGCTGAGAAAAGCTACAAAAATCAATAGCAAAGCAGCAATTATTGCGCGTAATTACATTAGACAATCATCGTCAATGCAAATTAAATCGATGGCGATGTATGTATGTACGTACGTATGTATGTACATCAAAAAGCAATTACACGAAAGACCAACGAATAATTACAGAATCGTTAATTGGATTTTGAATTTGAGTGAAAACCCAATCTAACATGGAAATTGAATTTAGCTAACCAGACGCAAGCAGAAGCCAACCACTTTGTATATCCGCTCGATAGACCCACTCTGCATAGCGCATAAGAATGCCACTCCCACTCACTCCCTCTCTGCATACGCTTAAAGAATATCCACTTCATTCACCCACTCTGTATACCCATTCTCTGAATAACTATTCTCTCTCTCTCTCTGTCTCTTCCTCTCTTTGAGCACGCTTGCCTCTGTGTGGATCCTCTCAGAATACTTTTGTCTGTAAACACTCTGCGCAGCCTTTCTCTTCATATCTCTTTTTATCGGTCTCTCTTTCTATTGGTCTCTCTTTGTCTTGCTCTCTGTTTCTCTATGGATGTGTGTCGCCTGTATGTCACTCTCTCTTTCTGTGTTTGTCCATCTCTTTCTCTCACTGTTTCTTCCTTTTCCTAACTATTTTTCATATATTTTTCTATCTCTTTCCCTATCTCATTCTTAATGCATATTTCTCTCTCTCTCTATGTATATTTCTCTATTTTCTTATCCTATTCTCTCTCTCTCTCTATCTTTCTATCTTCCATCCTCTCTCTCTCTCTCTCTATATATATATATATTTCACTTCCTCCTTCTCTCTCTCTCCCTCTCTCCATGTCTTTCTATCTTCCTTCCTCTCTCTCTCTCTCTCTATCTATATATATATATATATATATTTCCCTTCCTGTCTCTCTCTCTCCCTCTCTCCACGTATCATTCTCTCTTCTCTTTCTCCTTTACTGTCTCTTTATCTTCTTCTCTATCTCCCTTTTTTGCCCATTCTCTCCCTTTATCCCGCTTTATGCCTTTTTCTCTCTCCTCTTCATTTTTCTCTGCGATTTCTCTCTTCCTTCCTCTTTCTCTTTCTCGCTCTCCCTCCATTGCTTCTATTCCTTCTTGCTTCTCCTCCTTCTTCTACTCTTCTACTCCTCTCTACTTCCTCTCTCCTCTCTCAACACCTTTTCCATAAGCCCACACCGCATATCCACTCGGAATACCCTGTTCTCTTCACTCTCCATTCTCTCCACTCTCCACTCTCCATTCTCTCCACTCTCCTCTCCACACTCGCCTAGTCTATTGACGGCGACAACTAATGACTTCCTTGCATGTCACGTGATACGTGTGCTACAGCCGAGCAGAGCCAGAACGCCCATTAGAGCCACCGACCTCGTGCCTAATGCCCCTCGCACCACTGGCGCCGCGCGTTGCACCACTGTAGCATAAAGTTGTGGCCTTCGGCAATTCATTCTTTCCGAGAATTTTTATTGCCTCACATTGTAAATACGAGGCGACTAATTGAAAGCCGTTTATTAATGGCCAACAGGTGTGGGTGGGTGGGTGCTCAGGTTCGGTGGGTTTCGGGTGCTTTCTGGGTGGTTTGTTTGCAACCCAAAATTAAATAACACATTGTTATTACCGCGTCAGGGCTTTTAACCACATGGGCAGCGACAGCTTTATGACTTGACCAACTGTCCAGCCAGCCCACCTCAAAGGCTAATTAAAATCTAATCAGGCCAGCAAATGTTAGAGTATTATGTGGAAATCGTCAACTCCAACCTACAGTGAGTAAATCAGGATTGAAATTATATACATATCCCGCCTCGAGTTCGCCTGAGCTGCCAGTTACATCACAAATGATGATAGATTCCATCATCAATTTGTTGACAGCCCCATCCCATTATAGGAATCAAGGCTGAGAGCTGCTATAAGAAGTTCTTATAGGAGGGAATAGGAGGTAGATAAGGTACGGAGTGAGTGAGAAATTTAGATGATGAGAGTAGGTCAAAGAGTGAGAAAGAGAAACGGAGAGAGCGGAAGAAAGAGTATACAGAACATGCTGAGAGTGTTGGAGAGAGGAAGAGAGGGACAAAAAGAGCGAGTGACAGAAAGAGACAAAGAAATCGAGAGAAAAAGAGAGAAATAGAGACATAGACATATAAAAAGAGACATAAAGAGGGAGAGAGAGAGAGATGATGGGAAACTGGGAGTGAGGAAAAGAATGATAAAATAAGAAACAGAGACAGTGACAGAGAGAGAGAGAGAGGAAAAGACGGAGAATAAGAGAAAAAATAGGAAAAATAATAAAAGAGAGAAAGAAACAGAGGAAGAGAGCATAAGACAGTCAAAAGGAGAAAGTAAGGAGATAGTCGAGAGCTCGAGAGATAGCAGGAGAAGGACGAGCGTAAAGAAGCACGAACTCATGTATGTCCTATGCTCTCTTGATCTGATACGAATTCCTTTTATATATCCTACTCCTGCACCCTCTACTCTGCACCCTCTCTTTTGTTTGCATTTGCATTTGTTTCCCTGTTTGATATGCTGGCAACGTTCTTCAGGCCTGTTAGCTCCGCTAGAGCAGACCAGAGATCTCTTGTTTACTCCTGCAGCAGCAGCTGCTGCTATTCACATTTGTCGCTTACTCAACCACGCTCTCTCTCTCTATACTGCTGCAGGTGATGGCGATGCCTCGATGGCCGAGGACGATGCCACCGATCTGCGCTGCAGCAGCATGTCGCTGACTCAGCTGCGTCACATGGACAATCACATGGCCAACATGCTGAAGCAGCACTCGAAGAACGGGCTGAGCTATGGGCCGCCAACACCGCCGGCGCCACCGCCGCAGCAGCAGCAGCACCCATCACAGTCGCAGTCGCAGTCGCAGTCGCAGCAGCCGCCGTCGCAGCAGGCGCCCATGGCCACGCATCATCACGGCGCTCCCTTTGGCTACCACAATGCCTTCGGCTACAATCACGGCGCAGCGGCACACTTTGGCCATCAGGAGGAGGCAGCGGCCGGCAATTACCTCAATTCGATGCATCAAATGGTGGAGGCCAATCAATTGCAGCCACAGGCGCAGGTGGGGCAAATGGGGCAGCTGCCCCCGCCGCCACCCTCGCCCGCCGTCTACGGCAGTCATCAGCAGCACTTGGCAGCGCTCGCTGCGCATGCGCAGGAGCAGCATAATAAATATGCCAAATCATCGTCGCCAGCTGCTGCTGCTGCCGCTGCTGCAGCTGCTGGCAGCTACTTTCAGCCGGACGGCCAAAGCTCGGCAATTGCTGCGAGTGCAGCACGCGACTACGACGAACGTTCAATGTCCTCCACCAGCGAGCTAGAGGAGGACGAAGACCATGAGGCCGCAAAGCTGCAGCATGAAGCGAACATTAACATCGATGTCACCTCCCCACCCACACCTCGGCCCATCAGCAGCAGCAACAACAAGCGCAAGTCCACCTTCATCGACGATAATGAAGCCAAATTAGCCAACGGTCAGTCGCTGGGCAATTATGGCATCAGGGCGCGCAGCCTCGACGAGGTGCAGCAGCAGCAGCAGCAGCAGCAACAGCAGCAGCAACAGCAGCAGCAGCAACACTTTCAGCACGAATATCGCAGCAGCAACAACAGCAACAACAATCAGGTGGAGCATGTGGAGCGTCTGAATGGGGACAATGACAGTTTGGTCAACGGCAGCTGCGCCTCCAGCGAGGATCTCAATCAGACCAACAGCAGTGAGCAGGGCGAGAAAATTACATCCGGCAGCGACGATGAGGGTAAGCAGCTTATGGTTGCCAAATGTGAACTAGTTCGACTTGCTGAACCAGTTCTATGAACTATATTGCTATATTTTATTAACCAGTTCCGTTAGCTGAGCTCCGCGAGAGTTTTGAGCACAATTCAAAGCAAAGTTGAGTCGGAACTAGCTCAGCTCACTCATTTGTTGGTTATCTATGAACTAGTGAACCAGTTATGAATGTTTTAGTTCAGTATTTATTTTCTATTGTGTTGTTCAAATGAACTTTTTCTGGAATATATAGAAACATTAAGAGAACTGAGCTCAGTTCAGTGGTTCCTTTCAAATGAGTCGTTCAATTGAACTATGAACTAACTAGATTGTAGAAAGAAGTTTGATTGAATCAATTCACTAGTTCCTTTTAAATAAGTCGTTCAATTGAACTTTTGTTAGACTGCAAAAAGAAGTTTGATTGAATCAATTCACTAGTTCCTTTTAAATAAGTCGTTCAATTGAACTTTTGTGAATTATGAACAGTTCATGAGGCCAGTTCAATAGTTCTTTTTAAGTGAGTCAAAGTTCAATTGAATCTTTTTATAGAGTATTCAGAAAAATTTGCTGGAATCAGTAGTTCTTTTGCAGTGAGTCGTTCAATTGAACATTCGCTAGAGTTTAAAGAAAAGTTCTTCTAATGTCTCTGACTTTCTCTCTCCTTCTCACTCTCCTCCACCTCTCGCCTTCTGTCTCGCTCTCTCTAGGCCAGGATGACAACTGCGCCAAGAAGAAGCATCGACGCAATCGCACCACGTTCACCACCTACCAGCTGCATGAGCTGGAGCGCGCCTTTGAGAAATCGCACTATCCGGATGTCTACTCGCGCGAGGAGCTGGCCATGAAGGTGAATCTGCCCGAAGTGCGCGTCCAGGTGAGTTACCATGTGCCAGGTGCCCATACACCATCTATTCAGACGTTAATCAGCGCGCCTTATTTACGAGCTGGAGCCTTGCTAATTGTGCAATCAACATGTCTGCCCAGCCAGGCGCCGGAAATTAAATAATTTCCGTTTGCAATTTATTTTAACGAAATTAAGCTGTGCCAACTAAGCAGCGCCCCTCCGACCAGATAGATACTGGCCAGCTAGCCAGCCATATGTTAGGGCCAGACAAGAATTTATCTTCTCACTAGATATATTGGCTGCAAAGCGCGTTTGCTGTAGTTGCCCGAAAATTGGGTTGTTTATTCCGAAAGTGATTTATCATGTCATCAACTGGATCTCTAAGAAAACAGCTAAAAGCTGCTTGGAGCTGCATAAATTTGCATATTCAAGACTTGCCTACTAACCGAAGGGATTTTTCCAAACTCTTGTCGTCCTTGATCCCAGTCTTATTCCCACTGCTTGGTCTCTGCATTGATTGTCAATCAGTCATTCATTGAATCAATCAATCAAGCAATGTAACTTTAAAAGAACACCTGCTTTCCAGCTTCAACAGCTTAGTCTATGCATAGATCATCAGTCAGTCAGTCTCATGTGATCCATCAATCAGTCAATCAATGCACAGCTATAATGCTGCACTCCTAGCTCTTGCACTGTCACTGGCACTGGCACTTTCAGTATGCATCCAAAGCTATATAGCTTCAATAAGTAAGCAATCAATCAATCAATAAATCAATCAATCAGTCAATCAATCAATCAATGTACCAATAATTATTCTGTTAAATGACCTTGCGACCTAACGTTGATTCGTGAAATTGTATATGCACTTGAATAGCTTCAATCAGTATTCAATCAAATGCTTTATAGCTTTTATCACTTAATCAATCATTCAGTCAATCAATTTAATAGCGCTTACTGCTCTCTCTGCTGCTACATAGATTTCTTGAACTTCTGTCAATATCCCTTTAAAGTACTTCAAACCATTTGAGTAAAGCTGATCATCAGTCAATCAATCATTCAGTCAATCCATTGAGTAATCGTCATACTCTCGAAGTTCGCTATTCTCCGTATCAGCATAGGTCTCTTGCGCTTTCAGATCTTCGCAACACATCAAATATATTTATCCAGTTTCATGATAGAAATCGAGGTGGAGCTCTATGAAGCGCAGTCTTCAATCAATCATTCATAAGTGCGCATCAATCATTCATTAAATTAGGCTTTGTTCTTCTCATAGTTTAGTTTGAACTCTGTCTCAGCTGCACCTTGCTGCACATTCAAAGTGAGCTTCAAGCGTTACTCACCCAGGGATCACTCTAGCCCCGCCCCCGCTTTGATTGACTGCCTCTTCGTGTTGCCTGTGCCGAAAGGAGTAACTTTTTCGCAGGACCAAACTTGCGCAACTTTCTTTCAGTGCATATTAAAATTTATGTCTCAATTGCGAAATGACAATGCAAATGACAAGAGTCGCGGTCTTTGCCAGCGGAGCCATCCATTTATGCTGAAGGAATTATGCACTTTTATGAGGATATGCGCCTTTTGCTTTATGCTCGCGCGGATGCATGTCTGGCCGCCATTCGTTTCGGGTGGCAAATTGCGACATTAACGGGCGGGGCGCCTCGTAAATTCCTTTCACAGCGGTGTAGCATAAAAGACGCCCGACGCGGCAATCGGAGAAGGCCCGAACAGAAGGCAAGCGCGGAGTGTTGCAGGCGGAGTTGCTCGACTAGAAGATACTCTGTACTTAAAGTGAGGGTTTCGAGTGGAAATCAGACAAGCGAGAAGAGCGAAGACATGTGAGAGAGAGTGAAGGGAGAAGAGAGAAAAGAGATAAGAGGAGAGAGCAGAATAAAGAACAAAGATCAGAGAACTAAGATTAGAAGAGTGATAAGTGGGAAGTGAGAAGCGAGAAACTGGAAGGGATAAATCTGAAGTGAGATGTCAGAAAATAGAAGTCAGGAGAGAGAAGTAAGCAGAGAGTAGAGAGAAAGGGGAAGAGGAAAGAAGAGGGTAAATTAGATAAGCGAAATCAGGTAAAATTCCTGTAGGTGGCGATGGATTACGTTACTCCTAGGAACTACTCTAAAAAGCTGCGTCTAACTCGTGGGCAAATAGTCCAAGGTGTGTGTTAACTGTGTTTACTTCTGCAGAGAATATGTGTAATATTTTTAGTCAGATATAGTTCCCGAGCTATGCCTACAGCTACGTTTTCCTTAATGTTGGCAATAGGTATCCAAAGTGTGATATATTCTTAGTGTACGTAGACATTCTGATGACAGACATAACAAATTCGATATCTACAACTGAAAAAGTTCTTGAGTTCGAACCAATTTGAAGAGGCAGCTATCTAAAGATAATAATATTAATATTAATATTCTGTATCTTAGTATTTATGATACAAGATAATACATTTTTATAGAGTTTAATAAGACTTTTTATCACGCTAAATGCTTTACAATTTCCAATAGAAGCAATATATCTATAAAGGCAGATAGATGGATAGATCTAGAGATACAATTAATCTGTCTTTCATCTTCACAGCTTCTCTTGAGCCACAATAATAAATCTGCTTTAGACTTTGTGAGATATCTCCTAACGCCCTTTACATATCCCACCACATACTCTATATACCCCAATTGAATAGCCAGTTCTCAGTAGGACAGCAAAAGAGTTCAGCAATCAATGAGCTCGAGTGGCATTTCCTATATAACTAATATATCTATCTATCTAACTATGTAATATTTGACTTAGCGGTGAGCTGTGGGGGCTGAGGCAGGACCATCTAATTGCATAGCTGCACAGTGGACTCGGGTCTAAGCGCTGTGCCCTGTGGCATAGTTTTATGTGTTATTCTCTAAGTCACAGACTGTGGGTTAGCTGAGGACCTCGCCTGCAGCTCGCAGGTGGAAAGGTGAGAGGCGAAAGGCGACAGGCGAAAGGCAAAAGGCAAAAGGCGACAGGCGACAGTCTCGACTGACGGCAAAGGACATATCAAATTTCATGAATTCGTTTACTCAGACGACAAATCATTTTTATTGACTAAACATTATCGCAGCGCGCGCTCTCTCTCTCTCTCTCTCTCTCTCGCTCTCTCTCTGCTTGGCAACACAAATATATGCACATAAATAAATAAACAAATTTGAGCAAAAAAATAAGTAAATGAAATACAAAAGTAATGAACGAAAATCGCATAAAAATTTTCTTTGCCGCGTTTTATCCGCGTTTCTCTAGATGGCCGTACGGCCCTCATGTGTCACTTTGTCAAATTGACACGAATTCAAATTTGGGCAAATGCAGCCTTAGCCTGGCTAGATAGAGCCTTTAACCCCTATTTACCCGCCCCACACACCTTCTTACCCCTAGCCCTTGGTGTGCGAGGCAGGCGCGTCCCCAAGTTCAACTCGTTTTAATGCCCTGCAGCTCATTGGGAAAGGGGTATATTGTTATGGTGCGACTGCATGTGTGAGGCGGCAAGAGGCGTGGGTCTATGTTGGAAGTATACATAAATTTGTTCTGTGCGAGGCATAAAGACGATCTCATCAGATTTGTGGACTCGACTAGCTCCGCATCAGTCTGTGAGCTTCTATCTCAGATACTTTAAGAGCTAGAGACTTTAAATTGAATTATATGTACGTTTGTATACTGTTATACATATAAGATAAAATTTTTTTCAATATGTCAGCAACATCTTTGAATATCACTAAGAATAAGATTTCAAACCTTGGTTTTTTGTGCATAACTCGAGAACTATAAGAGCTAGGAATACCAAATTTGGTGCTTAGCTTAGCCTAATGAAAGCAAAGCTTATAAATACTTCCTTTCTTGGATAATTCTGCTACTGTTTAGTAGAGCTTAAAAACTATTCCGTGTAAATAGTTCAGCCTTGAGCTCTGCTACGCAGCCCTATATATGTGTACTAAAAAAACAATAACTGAAAGCAGAGGGTATCTATTAGTCTAGCACTGCCTACAAGATTTGACTTCTTTTGCTTTTTCTTTTTGATTTCGTGGGCACATTTTTTCGGTCTGCACACCCTCTGCACGTGGGTGTGTGTGTGTGTGTAATCGCATTTGCGGTTAGTTTGCATGAAGTTCTAGTTATCGTTGGAGCTGTGTGGAAATTGCTTGGTGTGCAACTCGTTGAAGGTGGAAATTTGTTTTGATTAAGTTTGCGCACACACACACACACACACATAGATATACTCGAAAAGAAAACGGAATCGAGTTGTTACTCAAAAAAAATAAAAGAAAGAAGAAGCGAGCGAGGGGGCGGCGCTGGAAACCCCAGTTGAGTCAATCAGTGGTTCAATATTCAGTTCAATTTCTCGTTTAGATGAGTTCATTTGGCAACTCAGAGAGGACGTGGGTGGGGCCAGAAGAGTTACACGTATTGTAATAGATTTGCTAAATGTTTGTTTAAAAAGTTTGATTGGATTTTTGCATTTGATGCATTGTGTGCTCGTATTTGGCATTGTTGTGGCTTGTTTGATTGTTGTTTAAACGGCCAATATTGCCCTGGCACTCGTTTACATTGTTGTAATAGAAACGAGCAGTTGTCTCCCTTTCCAGCCAGGCCGAAATAAAAACACAGAAGACCCAAAATTGCCAAATCAAATTGAAATTGTGTCATTTTGCGGCTTGGCTGCTCGGCCAAGGCAATTAATATGCCAACCGCAGCCAGCCTGATATAGACAGATATATATATATATATAGATGTCTAGCTTAAGCTGGGGCTTATCTACGATCGTAACCAAAACAAAATGCGTTAAGCTGCCGAATTAAACAACAGCTTAACGCGCTAAACAAACGCAAGACACACTCAGGCAGACACATCATTAACGCTGAGAAGTGAGAGAAGTTCCCAGTTGCCAGTTCGTCAGCTGCCAGTGAGCCCTGTGAGCTCGAACATATGGCTCGGCGCGCAAGTGCCTGCCGTAGATGACAATTATTTTATTTGGATTACACGCTGACAGCTCGCAAATGCCGTTCTCGAGG